TTATCTCTAACAGTTCCACCTGATGCTTTTAAGTGGTATTTCCTCTTTCAGCTCTCTGAAGAACTTTATCTCCTGGAACTCATCAGCTCTTTTCTTCTGGAGTTGTCTCCTGTCTCTTCCATCTCTGTTAGCTTTGTCACCATGAATATTCTTTACCAAATACTTCCATGAGTTCCATTGCACAGTCTGTGGATGAAGAGGAGTAATTCCTTTCCCTTTGGGGAGAGGTATTTTCTTTGTTTCTCATATTTCTTGTGCTTCTGCAGTGATTTCTAATCGTTTGATGGGTTATTTGTTTCTTCCTAATTTCTAGAAGCTCAATCTAAGCAATCAGAAACACAGTATATAGATGTAAATATCAGATATAGTATGTGTGCAAGAGGAGGGTCTGAGGAAGCATATTTAGAAGAAAAATAGGAAGGCAAAGAATTGATGTCACAGGGAGGTGTGGTATTAACTGTTGAGGATGTTTTGTGGTTTTGTCAACTGTGTTGGGGAGAGATGCTCACCTGTTGAAATATTCATTTTATAAGACAAATAATAATGTGATTGAATGTATAAAAGAAAATGAAATAAAAAATAATTTTTTAAAAAAGCAAGTGTGCAGGAGGAGGTGACTTGCAAACTCTCTGCCATTCTGTTTTTCTTCCTTTGTGTGGCAGATTCAGTGGGAATTGAGAAATATGTTGACCCTAGTAGTATTTGGATTCTTGGCTATGTTTCACTTAAACCTGTCAGATATTCAGGGCATGGAGGCTGAGCAGCAAAGTGATGAGGTGAAAGAAACAGGCTAAGAAAACAGAAAAAATGAACAAAGAGAAAAATAAATTATTTATTTTACAAAACAAGAAATGAAAACCATGCAGGGTGCTCAAAATCACTACTTCTCAGATCCCATGGAGGACTCAGTCTTCTTCTGAAGGCCTGTCCTTTTTGCCTCTCCAAGATGGGAGGAAAAGGGGATTATTAGCAAGATAAAGGAGATTGTGAGAGCCAAGGAAATACTATACTTTTAAAATTTTTTTTAAAAATGAAAAGACAGACAGAAACAGAGGGAAAGATAGAAAGGGCTCTACCAGGGTGAATTCTCAGCAGAAAATCTTCATTTCACTTATTCCCTTCTCAGCTCCCATGGAGCACTCCCCAGTGTGATTTTTAAGTCACCGAGTCCAGGACTCAAACTGTGGTTGGCTCTGTGGGAATCCAGTACTGTAACTACTATGCCATCTGCTGGCTCCTTTGTTTCCTACTTTAATCTTCTCTTTTTTTTTTTTTTTTTCCCAAATTTCCAGGTGTGTGCACTCTCTGAAGAAGGAAAAAGCACCCCCTCCATGAGGTGTGGTCACACCACTATCTCATCTCTTCTATTTTTCCATCCTTTCAGGATTTGAGGCATGCACACACACACACACACGTTTTTCAAGACACTGAGGCCAGGACTCAAACCAAGGTTTGTCATGTGGGATCTGGCTTCCTTAACTGAGGAACCACAGAAGCAGCCCTGGCTTAACCTATTTTTATGCCAGGAACACTGGTTTCTTTCAGTGTTCTCTTTTCATACATGTTTCCCGAGCTTGGTTTTTGATCAACTACCCCCATTTCTAGTGATGGTTCTCAAACTTCAGTGTACATCAGAATCACTGGGCAGGATTGTTAAAACAAGTGTCTGAGTCCCACCCCCAAATGTGAAATATGGTGATTTTGAAAATCTGCATGCCCAACAGGTTTCTGGGTGATGTTGGTGCAACTGGCTAGGGAACCACACTTAGAAAGTCCTTGTTACACGTTTCCTAATTGACCCTGTCTGTATCTTGATTATCGTTCGGAGACTTGATGCAGTTAAGTGATTCCTTTCCTTCACAAAATAATTATCAGCCTCCATTTAATGATCTACCACTGAATGACAAAACATATTTGCATTTTAAGACAATTAAATCATATAAATCTAAGTCCAAATGTTTGGTGCTTACTGTGGACATGGTTCAGAAAGGTAAAATCCTCAGATTTTCCCTAATACATGTTAGTATTATTAAGGTACATTCTCTTGTTAATACATAGACATCTGATCCCAATTTAAGAAAGGAGTATTTCTACCTCAAAATGATGAGTGATGGTTAATTTTATGTGTCAACCTGGCTAGGCTAAGGGAAGTCCAAAGAGCTGGTAAAACACTATTTCTGGGTGTCTCTGAAGGTGATTCACACATTTAGCATTTATTAAAGACATTAGCATTTGAATCCATGGACTGAGTAAAGATCACCCTCAGCAATGTGAGTGGGCACCACCCAATTCATCGAGGACCTTATTAGACAAGGAGGGAGAGGATGAGTTTGTTCCCCAATAGATAAGACACTCTTCCTTACATTTTAGGACTGATTTAACTTTCCATTGTGTTATGAGTTTACTTTATCTCTTTAAGCAGAATGCAAACTTTGTAAGGAGTGGACTGTGCATTAATGTCTTATCCCAGTCTAAAATGCTCAACACGTGACAGGCACCCAGCCTGGGCTGACTCATTCACTCGTCACCTCCCAACATGCGTTTCCTAAGCTGGAGCTGAAGAGGACCACGAGAGCAAGAACATCAGTCAGCTGGCAGAAGGTGTATTTCCAAGCCAACTGAACGATCTGTATCTTAGTCACTCTCCTACATGATGCATGGTTGTTCCTCGCCTCTTTCTACCTAGATTACTGAGATCTGACTATACCGTGATGAATCACGCAGAGGAAACACTGCCAATAATAAGCTAAGTAAAAATTAAATGACTCATTACTAATAACCTCCTAGGCATCTGGGATTAGAAGGGCTAGAAATTGAAAATGGGACTTTCCATTCATCTTCCAGTAGATGTCATTGGACGCACCACTGGGCTTAGTATCTGACCATCAATAAAGTTACTAACACTGAGCAAGCAGGCTCTGACCAGACTTAAAGTGGTCATTAACTCTTCCGTAAATTCTGCTATGCTATGGCCCAACGACTCTGATTCTTAATTTAAAAACACTGAACCCAATTCTGCATTGTCTGAATTAGAACAATTATTTAACAAGGATTCCTAGAGATTTATGCTATCATCTTACAGCATCACAGCTCGGAAGACCTCAGACTATTTGCCTTTAAGGTCTCCCATGTCCCCACCATTGATCCTCTCCAGTGAAACTACCCATAATCCCATGATTCCATCCCCCATCCTGACATTATTGGTATAGCCCTAAAGATGGGAATAGGAAATAGCAGGAATAAGGAGATGAAATATACATTTAGATGCTAAAAACTCTGTAGCTCAGTCTTCACAATCCATCTGACACAACAATGAGAATTCAGCCTTCACAAATCTTTTTGAAAATTAGGATGGATACCAATAGCAAAGCTGGGCTGTTCTTGGAATAAACAGAAAATGTGCTAGATGCATTGTTTAGGTCTTACTCAAAAAATAAACAAATTTGGATAGAAATATATCATCTACTCCTTTTAAAAAAAAATTTACTGATAGGGAACGTGTGCTCACTAGAGAGACAGAGACAGAAAGCAAGAAATTATCCCCCAGAATGGATGGCCATGCTGTAATCCCTTCTCTTCCACTGTCCTCTCAGGAATTGGAGCACACACTACACATGTCCAGTGTGAGTTTTAAGCCACCGGATCTGGAACTTGACTCCCAGTTGACTACATGGGACTCCAGCAATGTAACCATTATGCCTTCTGCTGGGCCCTCAATATCATATACTCCTAAAAAAAAATAATAGCAATCCTTAAACAAAAGACCTATCCATGACATTCCATCTTGTGAAAACTTATCAGTGGAAAGTAAAATTCATTAACCTCTTTTCTAGATAATATTTTTTTTAATCTTCCTTTCATCCAGATGTCAATTTTTATGCTTTTGGCCAATAGACAATTGTTATATAAAATGCATTTATGAAGCTCATTATTTTTAGGCAAATTGTATTTTAGACACAAAGAACCCTTGAACCTTTACTAACGACGAGTGATCTACGACACGTATTTCAAGAACCACCTTTGGGAGCCAGCAGGTGGCACAGTGGTTAAGGCACTGGGCTCCCACATGGCGAACCACAGTTTGAGTCCCAGGCCTGGTGGCTTGAAACTCACACTGGGTGCACACACATACCAACTTCAAAATCCTGAGAGGAGAACAGAGGAGAAGATTGAGGCGTGGCCACACCCTCGGTGGGTGATTTTTCGCTTTCTATTTTTCTGTCTCTTAGTGTCTTTGATGAGTGCCCACACCCTAGAGCAAAAAAACTCTTTCAAAAAAAAAAAAAGTTGGTCTCTTTTCTTAATCCTCTAGCTGGAAAAATATGGGGATGATAGTGACTAATTTACCTGAGGAAATCCAAGGGCCCTATTCCTTAGAATGCTTAAGTGTAACCAAATATTTGGATAAGACGGAGTGGAAGAATGATTTACTGCTGACATTTCGGGTCAGAAAACTCTGCTCTAGGAGACTGTCCTGTGCATTGTTTAGCAACATCCCTGGTTTCATGTATCAGATTCCAAGTGGCACCGCCTCACTCCCATTTGTGACAACCAAAATGTCTTCAGACCCCTCAGTGGGAGGGCAGAATCATGTCAGTTGAGAGCCATATAAAGTGATAAGAAGAGAAAGTCCACAGTCAGATACGACAGTCACTGAGAAAAGCTCTATGACCCTGTAATTTCACGGAAGCATTGATTTGTTTTTTTCATTTTTTAAATAATTATTTACTTAATTTTATTTATTATTATTTTATTTGCTATAGGAAATGTGTGCTCACAGAGAGAAAGAGAAAGACAGAGAGAGAAGGGAAATGAGACCGTAAGCCACCAGGCTGGGACTCGAATCGCAGTCAGCCATGTGGGAGTCCAGCGCCATTACCATCATGCCACCTTCTGGCTCCCCCACAGCAATTTGTTTTTATGCATCATCTCGAATGTTCTCCCATGTTTCATATTTTTCCAATGGAATAATTTCCTCAAGGTACAAATGACACTCCAGAGACAAGAAGATAAGTTTATTTTACTGTCCAATTATTTTCTTAAAAAAGTTTAATGTTTGATAAAATAAAACAAACTTGTAGTACCATAGAAACCTTTGACATGTACAGTGACATATTATTACTATATACAACTTCAAAAACAAATACTTCCAGCTCCAAGTTGAACATCCTAACTATAGTTACGCTATACGAAATTTCCTGGATGGTCAAAGTTTGCGTTGGTTTGAAAAAAATATACAATTGAAAAATATAAATAAGACCTTCAATGAGTCGAGAATCATAAAAATGCTCTCTGAAGTTCAGTCATCTGCATCTTGGGAGGTTTGCAGTAGTTATAAGAGTTCAACAAGCAAAACGAAGCCCTGTGCATATTCAAACTTCAGTCTTCCAGGAGAGGTCCTGTAGGTTCACAGTTGGTCTATCAAAAATAAAAGCTATTCCTGCTTGGTAGAATTTTGTGTCTGTTTCAAAGGCCATTTTTCACCAGCTCATGGACTCCATTCTCATCGATAATCAAAGGTGCATGGAATTCTTTATCTGCCACATAACTTTCTAGTCCCTAAAATAAGGATTAAAATGAAACACAGTTTAGAAAATCTGTGGGTGCCTGTCATGGAATTGCTGGACTCAGAGGCTATAATGACTTAAACCATTAAATAAATGCCAAAAGTTGGTTGAGATGCAGAATTTAGAAGTAACATGTCCACTTAACAGACTTTTTAAACTGGGTGTAATGACCTGTTTATTTATGGAAGCACAAAACGTAAAACAAAAAAAAAAAGGAAATTATTCTGCTTATAATTTCTAAAGTTAATGAAATTCATGCTTCTTATAATCATGACCCAACAGAGTGAATTTCTAAGCAGATGCTTTCTCTGATGCTATAACTAGGCCATGCTAACAATCTTCAGGAAAAAAATACTACGTAAGATAGTATGGACCACAAAATCCCAAGGTTTTAAAAGTGAAAGGCCTAAGAACATGTCCAAAACAGATCCTTTGAAAGAAAACTTACACTGCATTAAAAAGAGCCAGATGACTTACAGAACAACAAGGTTGATTTTATTTATATATAGATAGATACACACACACACATATATACATATATACATACGTGTGTGTGTGTGTGTGTATTTAAAATCCTATTGCATTTCAATGGCTAGGTGAAATAGACTAAATATTACAGATTTCAGTTCATGGCAACTAACTCACTTATGGGATAGAAGCAAAGCCTCAACAGGAATTCCCAAAGAGAAGAATTCGGAATAAACACAGATTTTCAGTTATTCTCAGGAATAGCTCCTAAGAACAGGAGCAACAGAAATGCTGCATCTTCTCCAAGGGCAACTCTACTCAAACAAAAAAACTAGCACCAGAATCCTACTTTTAAAAGAAATGGAGGTGCAGGGGGTACCAGCCCATGGCCTAGTGATTAAGGTGGCTGGATCCCACGACTGACTACGTGGTTTGAGTGCTGGACCCAACGGTTTGAAAAACATGCTGCAGGGACCAGCAGATGGCATAATCATTACGTCACCTGACTCCCATGTAATTAACTACGGCTCAAGTCCTGGACCTGGTAGCTTAAAATTCATGCTAGGTCTGTGTGCATGCATGCCCAAAACCCTGAGAGGAGAAGGAAGAGTGGCATGGCCATCCCTCCGAGGGAGTGATTTCTTCTTTTCTGTCTCTCTGTCTCTGTCTCTCCAGCGAGCGTATGTACCCTACAGCAAAAATCTCTCTTAAAAAAAAAAAAAACACGCTGCATGCATGTGTGTGCCCAAAAATCTCAAAAGGAAGGAGAGATGGAGACAGGATTGCTGCATGGCCATCTCTCCCTGGTGGGTGTCTCCTCACTCGTGCTCATGCTTGCTCTCTCTCTCCAGTGAGCATATGCACCCTGTGGTAAAATTTAAGGAAAAAAAAGGAGGGGGGAGAGAAGCAAAGCACACTTACTTCTCCAGCATAAGAGATAAGAGGAGAGATTTCACACTGGATTGGTACATCATTGGCATCCTTCAAGCTGAGGAAAAAAACGAATAGGTGTTAAAGATTTTGTTTCCCATGTTACTTGCCAAAATGAAAGTGCAGACTAGAACATTCCTCTGAGAAGCTTGCAAACAACATAGTTCTCCTAGTTAAACCAACAGAGAAAGGCCTACCTGGCTGATCGCTAAATTCCCTGAGGATTACATGACCAGGAAATGCTCGTGGACAGAAAGGCACTCCTTGGGCCACCCCTGACACTTCAATACGTGCACACCACCCCCTTATGGACATCTCTCTCACCTTTCACAATTTCCAAATTTCATTCTGATAAAAGGCTATTGGTCGAGAAGATAGCATGTGCCACACTCACTCTGAATCCATGCCACAACCTCGCGAGTTAAGTACGACACTGACCAGCCCTGCAATGCTGTGCCACATGGTGGCCAACAGCCACGTGTCCCTAAGCCAGCAGGCTAACATACTTAAGCTTCTATTAGGTAAAATCTTTTATGAATTAAACACGTACAATTCAGCTTCTCAGTCACAATAATCACATTTCGGTGCTCAGTAACCACGGAAGGCTACTGACGGCCCAACTGACAGCCCAGACTCGGAGCACGTCTTCAGTTCAGAGTTCTATGGTGGACTGCTCGGGAAGTCAAACACGACCTTCAGTACACACTCGAGTCCCCTAGGTGAGCTGAGCCGATGTATTCAATACGTTTCAAAGCACCTCTCTGTTAGCCCAAGTCCCTGTTTACAAAACTAAGGCAAAACGCACCCTAGCAAGGGCAAGGAAAAGTCGCCATTTGCTTCTTCTAGTTCACTGACTATCACCACTGGAAATCCTGAATTTCTAAATTATGTACAAAACACTGATAATCATTAGACTTCTACATTATTTGCTGTTTCAAGAATCTTGCCAGTGAGATACAAGCCATACAAAATTCTAGTCTTTCGCGGCCTAAAACCAGAGCTCCTGGCTTTTCCAGGCACCCGGGCTCAAGCTTTGGCGGAATCAGCAAAGACAGAGGGTTTCTGAGGTAGCCACAGTCGACCTTCTCTGAACAGAACCTTCAGCTCGCATTGCAGGCCCTGCGCGTCCTGTCCCCGCCCTCTCCATCCTGCTGCTTTCCACTTGAACCAAGTCATCACTATCTCTGTATCATTCCAAGTCACTTTAAACTATGGCCCCCTTGACTGTATTTAAAATAAAATAAAACAAGAACACCCCCACCCTCCAAGATTTAGCTCACACCCCAAACTTCTCTTGATCGCTGCATTTTACAGTGACTGTTCCCATTCATTCATTCATATCAAAAACAACGGCACTCCAGACTTGCAAAGTCACCATCTCCTAGTCATTTATACCGCACGGTCACACCTTCACTGCCGGAGGATGTTACTTAACTTTTACGTACATGCACCTTCAACCTCCCCACAGGACGTGAGAAATGACGTGAGCACTAGGATACTAACAGTACCTGCAGGCCTGCCCACGCCCACCAACGCTCATGGGCTGACGGAGTAATGAGCTATGAGGTGCCCAGGTAACAGACTAACGTGGAGGAGAGAGGCACAGACCGGCAGCCTCCAGATGTGTGCCCTGCCCTCTCACCACAGCCCAGGGGGTCTAGCCAAGTGCTCTGGGACAACTCAGAGTCAGGTTCAACCACATGGGAAAAATGCGGGCCCACTGACAAGATGTCTAGAGCCCAGTCCCAAGTGAACCCCAGAGGCTTCCATGTACCAGGACCAGAAGGTGGCTTTGAACCCAAGGAATGTGTGTGTGTGTGTGTGTGTGTGTGTACCAAAAATAGATATAGATATATATCTGGCCTGAACGTGTAACTTCCCACTAGTACAAGATAACAAAAAACTTGAAAAGTCAACTCTAATGAGCAAAGTTGGATGTCCTGAAGGAGGCAAGATGGAAGCTACCATAGTCAAATGAGAAGTCTCAGGATATTGGCAAATTAGCCCCATAACACCACGGCTTCCCTTTTCTTCAGCCATGCGCCCTTTGGGTAGCTGCCACTATTCAGTAAGCCTTACGGTGAAAAATAAAAATGTCGCTTTTGTCAAAACTCAGCATCCTTGCTGCCATTCTTTCAGAGTGTCTCTGAGCTGTCTCCTCCCTCTTTTACCCAAGACACTTTCTTTTCTCTTACTTTTAACTGAACTTTTCAGCTCTCTGAGGGCATCCTTTGGAGCCAAGGATTTCGCCAGGAACAATTTCTATGTCCGTGACCTCATTTGGGGGTCAAATTCTGGCTTCAGTTTAATTATTCTACAAACGGCTAGAACAGAGTAAGCAGGCAGGGTGTGGCGTGGTGAAGGGGGCCCTGAACAGAAGAACCCAAACAAGAACTAAGTAGCGCTAGGCCTTTCGGTATCCTAACTAACTGGCAGCTCTACGCTGCTCCCAGCTGCGTAATTAAGAAGCGATTTCACTTTATGTGACCAGCCGTGGTTCAACGAGAAGGAAAGTTAGGGTCTAAGTGTGATTTCTCCCCTTATCAAAGCAGCTTGCTTCCACATTAAAAATGATGGAGGTGGGCAAGCAGAAAGGCTTGGAAAATTGATGCAAATAAAAAAAAATGAATCTTTGAAAAAAAATGATGAATGAGACACAAACAGCAAAGGACTCTGAGTCCCAGTTCCCATAGACGAGATGCAGCAGCAGCCCCTACGGCTCCTGGAAGAAACCGACTGGATCTCCACGTCCCTACCTTGTGCACAGCCGTATCCCAGCCCTGTCCCCACAGGGCAGAGACATGCGAGCAGGACAGCGCGTGGGTGAGACGGGCTTCAGAGCCGCCCTACTCCCGAGGGAACACCCATCCCTAGATCCTGGCCCCGAACACATTCTCAAATGACCATAAAAACTTAAAATTCAAACTAAACTTAGTAACTTTTAAAGTGTAGCAAGAATTTCAAGCTGTGTCTTTAGCTGTAAAGACAATGCCTCTTTTAAACCTTGTCAGCACCCAAGTGAGAAATGTGTGCTACTTCTGGCTAACACGACCCTGTCCCGAAGGCAAAACGATACTTTAAACGCAAGGAAAGAACTTGACGAAAATGAACACTGAGGGGCCAAAAAGGAGAGCTTTTAGCCTGAGAATCAATCAAAAGAACAGTTTTGCTTTTACTGCATTCAAACGTGTCGGGAGCGGTTATCCTTTAAACTGAGCGCATATATCCAAATCAGAAGACTTGCTTTCGGAACGTCACTTAGTTCTAGCTTTGCATACGCTACAAGGTGTGGGTTGAGACCTAACTTTGTTCCTCTAGCCTGTCACCTCTTCTGGATCTTCTCTCTCACCTGTGACTCTGTCACTGTGGGCTCAATTCAGATTCTTGAATTGGTCAGATTCTTTAGGAAAGCATGCTCCCCACTTCCAGCATGCACTGAGATTCTGAGTTAGTGTCATCCAGACAGATACCTGCCACCGAATAAGCAGTGCGCCCCCAAAGAAGCTTCAACCACCCTCTCCCAGGCCCCAAAGGCAGAGCGCTAGACTACAACGCCAGTTAGTATGGAGGAAGCGCGGCCCCGCCACCATGCACTGCCGGCAGGCTGGGATATTTACTTGGAATTGACATCAGCTGCGGCGGTCGCTGCCTTTCCATTTGTCGCACTGCTATGTAGGAATAAATAAGCATTAATGGGAACGGAGACAGACCAAACAATCACAACGAGGTGGAGTTGCAAAATATACTTGGCTGAATGGCATGTATTTATGGTCAATCCTAAATCTGGCACGGGACACCTGAAGGGGTAGAAATCAAACTTTATGGTCAAAGATAAAACATGAGGACAACGTGACACGCCACAGAGCAAGCCTGTTGACACCACAGAGACTGAAGGTGACCTTGGGCTGGGGGACAGAGCCCCCACTGCTCCTTCTGTTAAGAGCTCCAGGCCAGCAAATCCCCATGCCTGGGGTTCTAACACCTTCAGAGGCGATCCTGCAGCCGGCCATTTTATCCCCTACAAATACGAATGAAATACACCAGGATTCTTTTTACCTAAGCATAGGAAACACCAAATGAGTTAAAACGGGGAGTTCTAGGCCCCAATAAGAGTTCCATCAGAAAATAGGAGATCTGGCTTAAAAGTGCTTCATCTCAGATATAAAGAACAGGTACCTTCTTCTTTTTTTCTTTTTTGGAGAGGCTTTTGCTATAGAGCGCAAACACTTGCCAGAAAGAGACAGACAGAGAGACAGAAAGCGAGAAATCACACCCCCTCCTCCGGCCTGGGGGATGGCCACACTGCAATCTCTTCTCCTCCTTTCTCCTCTCGGGATCTTGGGCACACGCGCACATGCGCCCAGCGTGAGTTTAAGCCACCGGGTCCAGACTAGAACCGTGGAACCGTGGTCGATTACACAGGAGTCCAGCGACATAGCCATTACACTAACTGCTGGTCCCAAGAACAGGTACCTTCTTCTTTAACTTAGGAAAACCCATGGCATTCCTAAAGTTGGAGTGGTGAGCATAACCAGCACTCACATTCCTTCTGGGCACCTTCCTCAGAGACCTGGGAGTGCCCATGTGGGAGCTGCACTGGGCCTACATCTCAGAGGTGGCCTGGGCTGGGTCTCCCAGCACTCGGGCACTACAACGGGCCTCTGTGGCCGAGGCTTCCCGAAGCTATGGTGGGTGGCTGATGGGCTTTAACCACATGGTGCACCTCAAGAACCATCTTCTGACCACCATTTAAGCAGGAGTCCTTCACTGACACGACGCAGATGGTTCCAAAAATACAAGAGGTTTGAAAGATTCCTTTTTTTCTTTTTTAAAGTTTCTGCCATAAGTAGCATGCACTCTCCAAAGAGAGACAGAGAAAGAGAGAGAGAAAGTGAGAAATCATCCCCTGGCGGGGGATGGCCATGCTGCAATCCCTTCTCCTCCATTCTCCTCTTAGGATTTGGGGCACATGCGCACACATGGCCGGTATGATTTTCAAGCCACTAGGATGGGGACATAAGCCACAGTCGGCAATGCGGGAGTCTAGCACCTTAACCACCATGCCACCTGCTAGCCCCAAGAGACTCCTTTTTAAGAGGAAATAATGCAATCGTTCTCTTTGTAACGGCCAAAGCTGCTGTTATTTTCATCAGAAACTGCCTACACATCCACACTGTGCTATTTAAAAAGATCTGGGGCTCTGTCAGAAAACGAGGAGAACAAAGTCTGAGAGAAGTTCAAGGATGTGTCCGCACAAGAGAAAAGACACCGACTTACCGGGGAATTGCTGGGAGGCGAGAGCCATTCTCGTCTATGAAGTGGCCCCCAGCGTTGAGGACCCAGCAGTGGTGAAGGGACAGCAAGGCGTGCCTCGCCGTGGTAGGGTTGTCCTTCCCGTTCTGGCTGTCTGCATTCTTCAGTGGGGAAAATTCGTCTTCCCGTAATACTTCATACACCACGAACTTCCTAGAGTGGAACCATGCAGTGACGTCTTTATTTTGGAATAAGACCGCATAGCCAGCCTTGGACTCCAGCCACAGCTGAGCCTTTACTCTTCAGCCACGAGCTCTCCTAATCTGATTTTGGATGGACAATGAATGAAATGACCCTTATCCTCGGATCAAAGACAGGACATTTTCTTTTCCAGTATGCCTTTCCACATCCAACTATAACACCAACTATAACTCACTTCACCTCAAGGCAGAAAGATTAGAGCTCTTAATGGACAAAGATCATATTAGTATTTGCTGGGGGGGGGCAGACATAAAGGATAAAAGGACATTTAGAAGAAAAATACGAAGGCAAAGCATTAATGGGACAAAGAAATGCAGTACGATCTGTTGAAGTTATTTTATAGTTTTATCAACTGGACTAAGGAGAAATGTTCACATACGGAAATATTCACTTTGTACGCTAAAGAATGTGATTGAACGTATAAAAGAAAATGAAATTTTAAAAAAATCTTAAAAAAAGGATCATTTAGAAATGTATGAGGCCACTTAAAAAGTTCATGGAAAAAAATAAAAGCACAAGGTTATTTTGGTGTAAAAAAGTTTTGAAATCTATGCATAGGTTTTTTCATATTATGCATTTTTCATGAACTTTCTGGAGACCCCTCAGAGATGGGCAGGTTAATCTTTTTTTCTTATTTTGTTTTTTAATTGCCAGAGGGCACATGTGCTTGCGAGAGAACAACAGAGAGGAAGAAGGGTAAAGGACCCTTCACTTCCATGACACAGTCACGCTGCAGTCCCTTGTCCTCCACCTCTCCACCCTGCTGGGATTTGGGGCACAGCATCTCAAGTCTCTGGGACGGGGACTCAAACCGTAGGGTTAACCGTGTGGTTTCTGACTGCCTCAACCACCAGGCCACAGGACTGCCTTGGCAGGTTGGTCTTATACAATTAATTATCTGTGGCATTTTCAAACCGGTTGAATTGGTATTTTTCTTTTTTTGGAGAGGTTTTTGCTATAGGGCACGTGTGCCCACCAGAAAGACAGACAGAAAGACAGAAAGCGAGAAATCACCCCCCAAGGAGATGGCCACGCTGCAATTCCTTCTCCTCCATTCTCCTCTCAGGATCTTAGGCACACATGCATATGCGCCCGGCGTGAGTTTAAGCCACTGGGTCCAGGACTCGAACCGTGGTCGACTACGTGGGAGTCCAGCAACATAGCCATTATGCCAACTGCTAGTCCCCAAACCAGTTGAATTCTAAGACATACATCTTGACATCAAATGAGTTACATATCTAAAAACATGTTCATGGACACATTTATCTGCAGGTTGGTAATAAACCCTAAACACAAAACGGGTCCGTTCTTTACCTGTTTTGTCTCTCAGCCAAGATAAATGACTTTACCACCTTTGAAAGACAGCCAGATAATGAACTCATTTTTAAAAAGGAACCTGTACCTTGGGCAGCTCAGGCAGTAGCTGCCTGTGGTTCACGCTAGAGAAAGGCCATGAATCTATTCCAGACACTCGGAACTGAAACGCCACATCTGAGATGTCCCCGAGAGTGGCGTCCTGCCTAAGAGAGCAACAGCCACATTTCAGACGTACATAAATGCGCCTGGTGCTATTCCAAACGTACTTTGCAAACTGGAAGATGTCAAAGACAAATTTTTCCATCTTTATTCCATTCGGCTTGTCTGGCTTAATTAACTGCCCCTGGGAATCCACATACGGAATCTTCTTTTGAGCCACATGGTGCTGCAACTGAGGCTCGTAAACACTAGGAAGGAGAGAAAGAAGACAGAATCACTTTCCAGATTTCCAGCGTCAGGAGCACAGGGATCAGCAACCAGGGCCGAGGTGTTCACAGTGAGTGGAATTTAAGTTCAAATTTCAATATTAAATGAATAATTTCCCCCATTCATTTCCTTACACTTAGGCAAATAATGATTTCCACATTAAAAAACATACACACACAGCTCTCACCAAAATCCCTCCTGTAATTTCCATGTCTATTCATATATATATATATATAAAATGTTCTATTCTTTGCCCCAGCCTTCCCAACCAAGATCCCTGCAAGTATGGAATGGAAAAGTGAGTACTAAAAATTCCTGTGGACATATCAGTAACACAGCTACAAACACGGGAGAATAGGATATATTTTGGAACTAGAGTTGACAATCTAAAGTAAAGTTTATCAGCTTTTTAAAGGGTAGACGGTCACTCTGAACTAGGTCTAAAAGCTACTGAGTGAATCAGAAGAAAGGTGGCATGTATCAAAAAGCTGGCAGGGATAAAACAGTCCTCAATGTATCCTTGGGTTACTGGTCCACTCATTTTTGTTTTGTTTTGTTTTTTCATTTTTAAGGTTTTTGCCACAGGGTGAATGCACTTACCAGAGAGAAATAGCGAGAGACGGTGAGAGGGAAAGAAATCACCCCAGGGGGGATAGTCACAGTGCAATCCCTTCTCCTCCATTCTCCTCCTGGGATCCTGAGCATGCATGAACATGCACCTGGCATGATTTTCAAGGCACCAAGTCCAGGACCAGAACCACAGTGAACCATGCAGGAGTCCAACATAACCACTACGTCACATTTTAATCATTAATTTCTAACTGCTACTCTGGTAACCAGATGAACAAGGATTGTGCAGGAAACTTTTAAAAAGTACAGACGCCCTGGATCCACTCCAGAAATTGACTGGGCTGGTAAAGGGTGAATATCTGTACTTTTTAAAAGCTCAAATTCTAGGGACTAGCAGTTGGTGTAACAACTATGTTGCTGGACTCCCATGTAGTCGACCGCGGGTTGAGTCCTGGACCCAGTGGCTTAAACTCACGCTGGGCGCGTGTGCATGTGTGCCCAAGATCCTGAGAGGAGAATGGAGGAAAAGGGATTGTGGCGTGGCGTGGCCATCCCCCCTGGGGGATGACTTCTTGCTTTCTGTCTCTCTTTCTGGTGAGCACACACACCCTATAGCAAAAACCTCTTTCTTCAAAATAATAAATAAATAGCTAGCTAGCTAGCAAGTTCTAATTTCAATAGAAAGGATGTCATTTCCTGCTTCAGCAGAACCCAGAATCCAGCTGAGGGGATGGGAGGGTGAGAAGAAAGGGGAAAATGCTTTGGAGTCCATGGAAAATGTTCCCACTAATTCCCCCTCATGCTACGTCTTGCTAAAAGCACCACAGTGTGGCCAGCCACAGCTCACGCTGCTAAGACACGGCTGCCCTGCCACCTGGATGACACGGAGAGCCCAGGTTGCATTCCTAGGCCAACCCAAAGGCCGAGCACTGTGGCATGCACCTGTAATCCCAGTGACTCAGGAGGCTAAGGCGGGGGGATCACGAGCTCAAGGCTGGTCTGGGCAGCACGGTGACGTCCTATCTAAAAGGAGAGCTGGGTGAGGTGGGGCATGTTTGAGGCTGAGGCAGCAAGACACCACCTTAAAAAAAAAATAAATCACAATGTGAGAGAAACTTCCATTTGACAGAAGAGATGTTCAGGAAAGACCAATTCTGTGGGTATGGACTTGGAGGTCTGCCTACCTCGAGTGGTTTAAGTTTCTGCTTAACAATAAATAGGATTTTAAAAGGCCCCCCTCTTGCCCATACTTGACAACGTCTCTCAGGAATGGGACGGTGAAGAAATGGTTGGCAATGTTCCCTGCGTTGAACAGCAGTCGACCATCTGAGCTTCGCTTCTGAGCCGTCGCCAGGGAGATCTCGCTATATTCCACCACCTGGTACACCCCGTCCACTCGGCAAACCACTCCAACTGGCTCCGTGGGGTTGGTTTTCTCCACCACCTGCCCATCATGGAAAGACAATCGGAGAAAAGGAAGTTTAAGCCAGAGCTGCTTCTTAGCTCCACCTGCTGAGGCTACAGGGACAAGTTTGTTTATAGCCTCTCTAAGGGATGAAGCTGAGAGGAACCTTTAACTTTCGACAATTAGCATCTATCTTTGTCCTTTGACAGGCTGCTTTCCAACTGGAACGAGTTACTCCTAACTGAACTGTGGAGTAGAAATTCCATCACAGACATGTGGGATCTATAACCTGGAGGAACTCACTTGGACTGGGAATAATTACAAATGGAGTCAATAACCTCCACACTCTTGTCATTTTTATTATTTAGTCTATCCTCCACTATACTCGAGTACTTTGAGAAGAAATCAAATGAAATGTCTCTACAATTCGCAAGTCAAAAAGCATCTGTCTCTGATTTCAGGTGTCACAAGTCAGTACGTCATTCGAAGCACACAGCATTTCTTTCATTTTCGTTTGTAAATACAGCCTGGTCCTTGTTTTCCAGGAACCCGGGTGGGAGAGAAGGGGGTTAGAGCAGGCAATTCACTGGGGTCCCACTCCTACTTTAACCAGAAAATCCGCCTGCATCTACTCATTTTGCATACTAGGTTATTTCAAATAAGAGCCCCTATACTTTAAAGAAAAAAAAAAGTTTAACAGCCAGCAATTTAATAACTTAGCAATGGCTCTGAGCTGGTGAGAGAGCTGAGAAGACATATATGAAATCGGAGGGGAAATCCAGGGTGAAGTGACTTGGGAAGAAGCCTCATAGGCCATTCTGATATCCCATCACCCTGATCCATACACCGTGAACCTAAAATAAGGCTTTAGAAGAAAATCATGAAGGATCTGTCTCCAACACGACAATGTAAAACCAACGTTCAGAGGAGATGAATACCAACGGAAGAACCAAACAATGTAAATATCTGAAGGAACTGTTCTGCTTGCTCTGTCCGATTAATACGGTATATTAATAATTTTACAAGTACTCACGCCTCAGAGTATTTATAAAACTCTGTCCCTTATCTGAAAAGTCCATGCTAAAGATACACGTAGTTTATAAAGAAAGTTTAAACTGTAGTTCAGCAACAGATCTTTTGAAACAAACCCAGTGAGCAGCAGTCTCTCCCAGACAAGGAAAGCCACTATTGAGAACTTGGTTTACACAGCAGTTAGAGACAGAGGCCCAGGTAGCTCGGTGAAGCAGGGCCGCAGGATCTGGAAGCCTGCTGTGTAGTCCACTGTTTGCCACCCTGAAAGGAGCACAGTATTCAATGAAAAAGAAACTTTCTAGCAAAGAAGTGGATTAAACCAGAGGGAAACATACAGCCAAGTAATTTATACCGGTCAAAGTAATTTATACGATAGTGGGCCTATTTGCAATTCGTGTCTATCACCCCACGGCCGCCTCTCACTAGGTATGCTCTACACAGGGGATCTAAGTAGACAGAGGAAGTAGAATACATTCCCCTCATTCCCGCTATTTAAACCTGCACACAGATTTATTTTCCCATCCTCTCTATATACCCCGCCTCCCAACCAGCCATGTAAATAAATAGCACATTCATATTTTATGTTTCCCAAAGTTTTACAACTATTAGCCCCAAACAGTAAAACAGTATAAATTACAGAAGAAAGCATTTGTAAACTGCGTGAGGTTGGAAGTCAGTTTAAATCACACAGAAGAGATAAACAGTCTATAACTGATACATTTGCTCAGTAATCTGTAAGCTAAATCTGGAAACGCTGAGTCCAGACTAAACTTCATTGTCAAAGTTACTGTAACTGCTTTTCGGGATGCACTTCAGCTAACAATCATTCCTTTTCTTTTTCCTTTGTATTTCTTCAGACCACCCTCCCTAAGTCCTTCCTCAAGGGTCTCACTCTGTAACAACTCTTAGGTGGTCGGGGAAGTCGCGATGTACGATTCTATGCAAAAATGCACCATGACTTTCCTGACGACCTAGTACTTACTGCACTGATAGGGGCCTATTAAAGAAGTACTGCAAAGAATTCTACCACCACACTAGAAATTGTTCCTTCATTGAGGTGTTTTAAAGCACGTATTTTAATTCCTTGATTTTCCTATAAAAAAGAAGAGGCAGATAACTGTTCCTATTTCTTTTTTAAGGTTTTTGCCACAGGGTGTGTGCACTCACTGGAGAGAGACAGAGGGAGACAGTGAGAGGGAAAGTGAGAAATCACCCCCAAGGGAGGATGACCACACCCCGATCCCTTCTCTACTCTCCTCCTAGGATTTTGGGCATGCACACATGTATAGCTGGCCTGAATTTCAGACTGCTGGGTCTGGGACTCTGGGACTCGAACCACAGTCAGTCACATGAAAGTCCAGCACCTTAACCACCATGCCACCTGGTAGCCCCCTTCCTAGATCTTTTAAAAGTTTTTGTTTTTGTTTTTAATTCCACCAGAGGGTGTGTACATTCATCAGAGGAAACCGTTAGAGAGAGAGAGACAGAGAGACAGAGAGAGAGGGAGAAAGAAAGCACCCCTCATGGGAAGTGGTCGCACGGCAACCCTTTCGCCTTCATCTCTCCATCCCATCAAGATTTGAGGCATGTACACACATGAATCCAGTGTGTTTCTCAGGTCACCAGGTCCATGATCTGAACCCCACATCCTGCTATATGGGATCCAGCTACCTTAACCACCAGGTCACAAACTATCCATTCACTGAGTGACTACTGCACTATATGCAAAACACAGGACTAAGCAGTGAGCCTATAGGAAGCCTGTCTGGATCTCTCCAAGAGGGCCCTTAGTAATGGAGAGGAGTGACCAGTTAGTACATGTTCTTCTGTGTGGTTGGTACACTCACAAAAGTTAGCACACCAGTTTAATATTTTTGAGCCAACAAATGCATACCTAGTCTAAAGAGTTTGGTTGTACAATGTGATGAAATACTGAGACCAGGCATTGAGAAACTCATTCTAACCCTAATCTTGGCTCTGTTACTATGACGAAGGACACTGAGCCTGAAACATATACAGTACTGAAACTCAGGGTGCCAATTTCTGAGATCAAAGAGGTTGACCAGATGACGATGACCTCTGGGGTCCCCTTCCAGGTTCTACACAGTCTCTATCACATAGAATTTAGGTTGATTCTGGAGCTTGTGGCAAGAAAATGAGCTTCTGTTTTAGAAAGAAGAGTGACACCAAGTGGAACAAAGTCAGAAGTACACATTAAAAAAAAAAAAAAGCTATTTAAAATACAGTATAGCCACTAATTGAGTAGGAGAGAGAGAGGTCTTAAATAGATGAACTGAGCTCATTCTTGTATTTTCCATCAAGGGGAGTCTCACTAGGACTCTCAGTTCAATCTCTCAAAATGTGTAAATTTAAGATGTCAGCATCCACATAAGATTTTGCATTAGATTCATAGATTAATTTTGAGAGAAAGGACATCTTTATAACAGCAAATTTCTAACAAAGATTATGGTATCTGTTATGACAGGTCTTCTTATTAAATTCAAATATTTCAAAACTTAATGTAGTCTAATTTGTTTCTGTCAGAAGCCTATGCACTTTCTACTTTGGGCATAAAGGTCTTCCTTTTGTACTATCAAAATTACGAAATTATTTTACATTTTCATCTTAAACATTTCCTTCCATCGAAAACATCTTTATAGTTTTCTCTCTTTTTTTTTTTAATGTTTAACGTCCATTTGAAACTGATTTTGGTATGAACTCTAAGGAGAGACTTACTGTATTTCTACCCAATTATCTCTTCCATTCCACTAATTTCCAATGTCAGATTTTTATATGATGCGTTCTCATATATGGGTGAATTTGTTACTGACCAAGTTATTCCATTTCCATTGTGTTATCTTTCTATCCTAGTTTGCATCCATACTCCCAGTTAATTTTCATTTAAACTTCATTTTAATATAATGACTGTCTCCAAGCCATCTGCCCCCCTTTATTGCATCCTTTTTGCTATTTTCCTAGTGATCTTTACATGATTTTCAAAACTTGGAATCATTTCATTAAATGTCACCAAACTACTCTCATTAAGATTTTGTTTGGAATTGTATTACACTTTATTTGATAGGAATAGATACATTAATAGACTTCTAGGAAAGCAATGTTTTTATCAGTTCTAAGTCTTTCCAAGTGTTTTTAAGGTCTTACATGTTTCCTATCTATTTTATTCTTGGCTATGCCATATATTGGGTCGTCAGGAAAGTCATGACAAGTTTTTCTATGCAAAAATGCATCATGACTTTCCTGATGAACCAATGTTTTGTTTCCTACCATAAACACATGCCTCTCATATCATCATTTATGCAACTCAAAAAAAGTATTAAAAAGAGCAATGGCAAAAGATGGAGTCTTATAGCATTAAAAAACCTCCTTCCTTTTATTTTTATTTATTTTTTTTTTTTTGCTATAGGGCACATGCAACTCCCCAGAGACACAGAAAAAGAGAAAGTGAGAAATCATCCCCTAGAGAGATGGCCACACCACTATCCCTTCTCCATTTCTCCTCTCAGGATTTTGGGCATATATGCACCTATGACCCGTGTGTTTTTTAAGCCACCAGGTCAGGAACTCGAACGGCACAGCTAGCCAAGCAGGATTAGCTGCCTTGACCATCATATGGCCTGCTCGCCCACAAAGTTCCACCCATCTTTTATTTTTTTAAGAATTATTTCATTTAACTTTATTTATTTTAATGTGACATTAAAGGGACAGAGAGAGAAAGTGAGAAATCAAGCCGCCAGTCCGGGACTCCAACCGCGGTTGTTCATGTGGGAGCCCATCGCCCTTAACCACTACACCACCTGCGAGCCCCAGTTCCATCCATTTTAACATCAGTATTTCTAGTCATTCCAGTAGTTATTAATCTCCATAACTCTTCTTATTCCTAACTTGCATATTTCTATCTTATTCATCAGAATATCGTGAGATACCACCTTACTGGATCCTAATCTGCCATTTCTACCATATTTCTCTTACCTCCTACTCCAGTAACTTTGTAGAGGGGAAAAATGGGGCTAATCAGATTGAACACAACCTGATATCAATAAATCTATCCCAGTTCTAGCAATAATCTTTCATTTTCCTAGGTACTTACGAACCGTCCTTACATATTTTAAACTCTTGTGATTAAGCATAAGTAGCACATTATTTCTGGAATCAAGTGTTACAAATTTAAGAAAAAAAAAAGTGGGTGTGGGATAACTGAGTTTCTTTTGAGAAATGCACAGTTCCTAAAATATTCAAATCACCCTAATAAGCCTCATTTGACTTCTGGAACACGTGAGTGTACTTCTGAAAGTTCACGGAAAAATGAAATTAAAGTATGAGTTGATTTTGGTGCAAAAAATATTTGAAATCCATGCATAGGTTTTTTCATAGTATGCATTCTCCACAAACATTTTGAAGACTCCTCACACATTCTGACAGGGAAGAGCCAGGTACAGGCTCACTTCGGATGACAAGGGCATTACCTTTGCTCCACAGTCAGCTCCTTTCTGAATGCAAAACCCAATGAACCGTGGGTCTGCCACTTTCACCAAGATGTTGTCAACACAGTAGACGTGAATGCTCCAAATGCCTCTTTGTTCCATATCCTCCACAATGTTCTGGGCTGCGAGGGCCCGATAAAGACCTCCATTCCCATCTGGAAAGTAAAACAGCCCATTAGTAGCACAACAAGACCCACAGCGAAAATAACTCAAAGAGTGCTTAATGTTTCCAAACTGCAGTGAAAATCACAGAAAAACAGTTTTGCATACAGAGCCAAGAAAACTAAAAGTTCCTAAGAAAGGATCCAGGGGTCAAAAAGTTATGTTATATGATATTTAAGGTTATTTATCCTAAGCACAAAGAGAACAATATTAACAGAGGTAGGACCAGACAACCCCAAAGACTATGTCTCTTTTTTAACTCAGCCCCTTCTAATAATGTAGCTTATAATGTAATGTGAAATATAAAATTCTTGGGCCCAGCAGGTGGCAGTATGGTTAAGGTGCTGAACTCCCACGTGGCCAACCACAGTTCAAGTCCTGGACCTGGAAGCTTAAAAACTGCACTGGGTGTGTGTGTGCATGCCCAAAATCCCAAGAGGAAGCTGGAGAAGGGATTGCAGCCGTCTCCTCTCCAGGGTGATTTTTCACTTTCCCTCTCACTGTCTTCCCAGTCAGCACATGCCCCCTATGGCAAAAAACAAAGAAGCCAGGATGACACAAAGATCTAAAATGACTTAAACTTGATATAAGTAAAAGCCCCTTCTTTCACATTTATCTTATTTTATTTTTAACAGAATTTTTGTTATAGAGCGTGTGTGCTCACCGGAGAGAGAGAGAGAGAGAGACAGAAAGTAGGAACTCACCCTCCGGGGGGACAGTCACACAGTCCCTTCTCTTCCATTCTCCTCTCGGGATTTTGGGCACACAAACACATGCACACAGCGTGATTTTCAAGCTGCCAGGTCTAGGACTTGAACCGTGGCTGGCCATGTGGGAGTTCAGCATCTTAACCACTATATCACCAGCTAGACCCTCCTATTTATCTTTAGTGCTGCTTTAATGTGTTCCTTCCATCGGCAACCCTGGCTATGGCTTTATATGACAAAAAATTTAACAACTTCACAAAATAGTGCTAAGAATAGGATATTCTTCCATTAGTAAAAAGATTCAGGTGAAGCAAAAAAGAATTAAGATAAAATGAAAGCCCACATCTGGAGAGCACAACTGACAAGACTGTTGTGTATTTCCTTTCAGCGCCCCTCCAGGGACATACTCACATAGCTGGGATTTGAATTCTAGGCTGGGATCATACTCAGGGTGGCTGCACAGGGAGCACACCGCCCCCTTTCCGTGGGCACCGCTGACAAACAACCACGTGTGTGCACCACCTGGAGCTGCGCACAGCAGTGGCTCTAATCACTGCACGTGCAATTTTGTGTTTTGTATTCTCTCAACCTATTGAAATTATTTTTGTTATTTAATATCTCAAAAGAATTACTTCTATACTACTAAAGAATAAATGCTGGGCCAGCAAGTGACATGGTGGTTAAGGTAGCTAGACTCCAACATGGCCAACTATGGTTCAAGTCCTGACCGAGCAGCTTGAAAAACATGCTGGCTGTGAAGGTGTGCAGGCCCAAAATCCTGAGAGAATGAGAGAGAGAGAGGACCTCAGTATAGCCATTCCCCAAGGGGTGATGTATCACTTTCCCTCTCTCTGTCTCTTTCTAATGAGCACACGTGCTCTATGGCAAAAATCTAAAAAAGAATAACTGCTATTTGTAAACTGTAAAAGCCACTAATTATCAATCAGCAGGTGGTTTCTTTTTAAAGAATTATTTAATTATTTTATTATTCAATTTGACCAGACAGACATAGAGAGAGAGAAAGAAAGGGAGAATGAGAAAGCAAGCCACCAGATCTGGAACTCGAACCACAGTCGGCCACGTGGGAGTCCAGCGCCCCAACCACCATGCTACCTGCTGGCTCCCAGCAGGTGGTTTCTAATTTTTCAGTACAATAAATAATGTAGACATGCACATTACATTACCGTGCATAAAACACTTGGTAATGAGAATAAATACCCTGAATGCAGCTCAAATTGTTCTCTACGGCAGGCATCCAAAAAAATACAAGAGTGTATCCATTCCACTGGAACCATTAGGTATTTTCATCTTTCTAAATCATTGCCAAATTGAAATAATCATCTTTTTTCTAATGCTCAAATCATCGTATTAAAAAGAAAATCAAAGTACAATGATTTATGCTATTACCATTTCTAGTCACCATTAAGTAAGGATGATTACAAACCTGGGGCCATAGAGACTTTGTTCTTCTCTTCCAAAATAATTCTCCCATCAAAGCTCATAGCAGGCAGCATTCCCTGCTGAAAAAAGATTACATTCTCTTTCTTCAAACCAAAGTACTTGTGCTTTGTGAAGAACTCCTTTGTAGATTCCATTGTTCTGCCACTGGTCATTATATACCTTACAGAGAGAAACGCAGAAGATCTCTTCAGCAATCCCCTATGTGAATTAGGGCAAGACAAAGTGCTGCCTATTTCCTAAGCGAAAGAAAATCTTTGAGAGCTCTGGCTTCTTATTTTACTCCCTTGAACTTTTCTCCAGGATAGGACACATTCATTCATTGCTGCCCAAGGACAATTTCATCAAGCAACTTTACCAATTATTTTGTGAAAAAAAAAATCGATCTAACAATATTAAACATAACTCTTACAACAAAGAACCTATAACTAGGGACCAGCAGTTAGCGTAATGACTATCTCGTTGGATTTCCACGTAGTCGACCGTGGTTCGCAACCTGGACCCGGTGGCTTAAAACTCACGCTGGGCGCGTGTGCATGTGTGTCCAAGATCCTGAGAGGATAATGGAGGAGAGGGGACTGTGGCATGGCCATCCCCCATGGGGGGTGATTTCTCACTTTCTGTCTGTCTCTGTCTGGCAAGCGCACACGCCCTATGGCAAAAACCTCTCCAAGTAAAAAAAAAAAAAAAAAAAGAACCTATAACTGACTTAAGTAAACATTGTAAATATTTTTTAAGGGTTTATTTATGTATTTTATGAGTCAGACAGAGAAAAAATGAGAGGTGGTACCCTCCACCGAGTCTTGACACTGCAATCCACCCCCAGCCAGCCCCAGGTCACGGACACGTATGTACCCGGCATTCTCAGGAAGGTCCCAGACTCAGACCAGGACCTTCCCACATGGGAATGCCTTGCAGAGCATGGAGTTTTCCCACCATGCACATTTCAGAACTCTGTGAAGGAGTCAATTTAGAACCCCTTTTCTACATAAATAGAAGGGGGAATCTGCGAGTCTACTGATCCCTTGTTCTTTGTATTAAAAATTGAGATGGAATCTGGACTCTGCTCACCATTCATTTGGGATCATAAAGCATAATTATACTCTCTGTCATCATGAAAATCCAACTCATGCTAGTGTGGCGAAGAAGGAAAACATTCTATCTAAACCTGCAATTAGTGACTGCAGCAGTTTTTTCCCTACTACCATGTAAACTACCCACAAGGAGGGATCTGAGTCCATTTTGGTTCCCATTTTGTCCCTAGCACCTGCACGGGCACTCGGTCAATATTTGTTCCATGAACAAATGAATGAAGAAAATGGCTTAATGTTTCACTACAGAGATACCTGTCTGTTTATCAAATTATCCTGGTAATTTGAACTCTGGTCATAATTAGAAGATGGCAAGAGAGGTGACTACGCTGCTGTGCATAAGGAAAGAACAGAGGGCCCGCAGGTGGCATGGTGGTTAAGGCACTGGACTCCCACATGGCCACCTCCACTGTTCAAGTCCTGGACCGATGGCTTGAAACTCATGCTGGGATAATATGTGTGCGTGCCCAAAATCCCCAGAGAAAGGAAGAGAAGGGATTGTGGCATGGAAGAAAGCGAGAGAAGAAAATCCAAAATGACAGAGACTAGGGCTATAAGTAAAATAGTGGCTGCCTGAAACACAGATGCCTCTCGAACACCATAGAAATCAAGATGAAAAAAGCAGTCTGAAGTGTCTGGAACCCATGTTGAGAAGAGCTGGAAAAGCTAAGAAAATTACAAAAAGCCTATGTCTAAAGCATTGGAGAGCTGCAGAGACAATACAGATTAGAATTCTAGAGATGGAGAAGAATCTTTCAAAGGGGAATCAAGGATCTGCAGCTGCCCTGTCTGAGTGTATCTGCTGATCTGGGAGACAGTCTAATGGTGGAGAATCTGGGCTTGGACCAGAGGCAGCTGCAGGGGGATAGGGAAACCAGCAAGGCTTCTGTTAGTCACATGAGACTGAAATAACAAGATTAAAGACTTGAGGGAGTTCAAGACACAGCTGGCTTCCCCGTTAAACATGCCAACTTCCAAATCTGCTCTGAGAAAGAGATTAAAAAGCTAAATCATAAACTTTGAAAAAGCACAGCAGAATTTCCTGTTGTCCCTTGGAGCTTCAGAGATAAGCACGACTGAGGCAGAGGCCCTGAGAATACAACGTTCTGGCAGAGGGTGTGGAGGACTTGAGTTTGGCCCAGCAGAGGAGTCAATGCAGCTTCCATCTGGGTATATGTGGAGGCCAGCTACCCTGGAAATTATGGATATGAGCTGCTATGCTAGACTGAGAGTCCGGAGTACCCACAGCAATGGCTGCAAAAAGGCCCATACCACATCATTGTGAAATGTAAGATACTAAAAATAAGAACAGACCCTAAATGCTTTCAGAGAGGGGAAAAAAGAAAAAAAAAAAAAAAAGATTGGGAGTTAGAATGGCATTAGATCTTTTAATGGCCAGGTTGTAAACAATAAAGCAATAGCTTCAAATTCCATAAGAATACTGATTTGCAATCAGAAATTCTATACCTAGATAAACTATCCATCAGTATGAAGTTTCTAAACTAAGAGAATCCAAGAGTACCCAAAGGTACTCAATCAGGGATATAAAAGTTGGCAGTATTATATTACTCACTAAGGCTCCACTGGTTATCCATCAAACTACGATTATATTACTTTAAACATATATAGTAAATTATACCACCAAGAAAATCAGTAGTAACAGAAAATATGGCTGCTTAAGAATAAAATATACCTGCATTTTTAATATTATTATTAAACAATATGTTCATCAGATATATGATGTATCTTACCATGGAATGATGCATTTGTTGCCGTGATATTGTTCAGCTAATTGTTGTAGCTTCAGGATGCGCTCTGCTTGAATCTGAAAAAGTGTTTTATGCGATGGCAAGCCAACATCATACATCCCCTTAGGATATGCAACACCAAGTCTTGTCCCCTGCCCACCAGCTAGAAGAAGAACTGCAACTCTGTTCTGAGAAATCTGGAAAAGTCCTAGGGGAAAAAAAAAAAAAACCACGTGTATCACAAAACCTCTGTAATTCAACACTTTAATATTAAGCATACATAGGTAGCAACCTTTAAGACTCATTCTATCTTCATAAGGCACAGAGAACAAAGAACCAACATAGAATCATGAATAGCTATCTTGTTAACAAAGACATTTTATTATTAAAGTGATTAAATTTACATACCCTAACCAAAGACAAAAAGTAAATAATATACATATATATTTAAGTTTTGCTATAGGCTGTGTGTGTTTATCGGAGCACACCAACAAGACAGATCCAGAGGGTGAGGGGAGAGTGAGAAATCACCCCCTGGGGGGACGGTCATCCCACAGTCCCTTCTCCTCCATTCTCCTCCCAGGATTTTGGGCGCACACACACTTGTGCCCAGCATGTTTCCAAGTTGCTGGGGCTAAACTCAAACCTCACTGTCAGTCATGTGATATCCAGCAGCCTTAACCACCATGACACCAGCTGGCCCAAATAATATATATTAATAAACTAATCTTTTTTTTTTTTCTCTCTAAAACTCAGGAGGCAAGGACCACGTTTGCAGGAAAAGACTTCATGGAAACTGGGTCTCTAGCAAGCTAGAAAAGCTAAAAAAAAAAGTCAGATGAGATGAAGCAATGGTTGCTGACTTTTGTTCTTATTTTCTGAGTTTCACACTTTAATTAACATTCTCAGAAAGTCTGCGAACAAATTTGGCCACTGGTCCCAACTGTAGGCTAAGCCAGAGGAAGCAGTAGCGGCCACGATCGATTATTATTTTTAAATCCTTAGGTGATGTGGGTTTTATTTTGTGTTGTTGTTGTTTTTTAATTTTGCCAGAGGATATGTATACTCACAGAGACAGAGAGACCAAGAGAGGGCAAGTGAGAAAGCCTCTACCATGGGGAATGGACACACAGCAACCCTGCTCCTCTATTTCTCTCTCCTTCCTAGCCTTTAGGCACACATGTACAAGCACCTGGTGTGGTTCTGAGGACACCAGACCAAGATTTGAACCATACAATTGGCTGTGTAGGATCCAGCTGCCTTGACCACCATGCCATGGGCTGGCCTGGTGATGTAGGTTCATCGAATTACTATGTGTTTCATGTGTCTGTGACATATTAGGTTTACTTAAAGTTAACATACTAGTACATCAAGAACTTAAAGGAATACTACGTAAACCCATTATAAAATCTTAACTGTCCCCCAGCCCCGATTCTATAGTTTTTAATTAGGAAAGAAGTATAGTACGAGAAAATTATTGGGCAACGTCCCAGCTATTTTTTAAACCAGAATTCAAAAGCACACACTACCTTGATATATTTCTACAATTTTCACCTTTGATATGAAACTGACCTTCTCAGCTAATACTTAATTCTGTCTCTCTCCCTTGCCTCAGACCCAGGAGTGTTACTATCTTCACAGCATTGAATTAGACCGTGTCGTGGTTTGAAATAACAAAATCAGGGTTAACATTAGAACTCAAAAATAATAACTATAACCTAAAAGTTAAGTATAATTTTTCCCACTGGAGATAACAGGTTCAGAGAGGTTAAGGGTCTGGCCCAAGGTCACAAAGTGAGTCGATGAGAATCAGTATACCTGACTCTCGGGCCTGTTCACCACCACATGACACTCCCTCTGACTATCTCAACACATCCAAATATTTGACAGGATTATCATTTTCAAATATGTAACATTCCTTTCCATTTCTTTGCTGTCCTTCCCTTTTCCACTGAATTCATTAGAGGTTACACTGATTTTTTTTTTTTAATTTATTTCTCCCATGAGAAAGACAGAGAAACAGGACCCAACCCTCACATCATGATCCACTCCCAGGCTCAGCCAGCCCAGATCACAAACACATGCACCCCCAGCATGCTCAGAGAGGTCTCAGGACATGAACCCAGGACCTTTCCCATGTGGGTTCAGCTGCATCACCACTGTACCACCCCTGGCCCCAGTGTCCTGCATTTCTAAAACCTGTCTTATATGCCATCTTATACAGAAAAGCTCTTGAGCAGGGAAGAGTTAACATTCTCAAAACTTCTCAAACACTACATTTGTTACAGCATTCTGTGTCTGTAAGGTCCGTCACCACTATGGAACCAAACCTAGCTGAGATGGGATCTGAAGGGAGCAGGGACACATATGAGCCAGACAGGAAAACTGTTTCTCTGAGTGATCAAAGAAACTACCGTGTCTAGGAAATACATTTAACTCTGCTGTCACTGACCCACAAAGCATTATTTTAAAATCGAGGTCCATAATCCCTTACATAAACCCCTGGGGAAGAATTGTTGCAGAATGCAGAGCTCTCCAAAATTTAGAAAAGGACTACATAGACTGACTATTCTTTATTCAAAATGCTTGGAACTAAAAGTGTCTTGGGTTCAGTATTTTACTAGATTTTGGACTATTTGTATATATACAATGAGCTATCTTCCAGCTGGGATCCAAGTCGAAACAAGAAATTCAGTTATGTTTTATATAAGCCTTATTTCTTTTAAAGAATTATTTTATTTACTGTTATTTTTATTTTTTTAAATTTGTCATGTAGAAATCCAGTTCTTTAACCACCACACCACCCGCTGGTCCCCATATATGCCCTCTTATACACACAGACTGAAGGTAACTGGATACAGTATTTGTGACACTATGCAGCCTGTCAAAGTCAGGTGTGGCATTTTCCTCTTGTGGAATCACGTCAGCACTCACTCAGATTGGGGAACATTCTGGATTTTCAGATTATGGATGTTTAACCTATAGTACACACAATCTATTCTAGGTACAGTTTATGCCCAGCAGAACTGAAATAGCACCTTAGAATCACATAAGTGGGATAATAAGGTTTCTCAATACTCTCAAGTTAGTTCAGGTCAGGTTTTACTGCAAAACACATTTTGCACCATTTTAGATCTACAGATGAAGCACTGCAGACTCTCTCAAGGACCCAGGAAGAGGGGCCAACAGGTGGTTTGGTGGTTAAGGGCACTGGATTCCCACATGGCTGACCGTGGTTCGAGTCCTGAACTTGGTGGCTTGTTTTCTCACTTTCCCTCTCTTTCTCCCCCTCTCACTTTGTCCCTCTTTGGTCAAGTTAAAATAACAAAATTAAATTTAATTTAATAATTCTTCGGGGGGGGGGAAGGATCCCAGGAGGAGAGTGGAGGAGAAAGGGTCGCAGAGTGGCCATCCTCCCTGCAGGGTGGATTTCTCACTTTCTCTCTCACTGTCTATGGTAAGTCTACAAGCCCTATGGCAAACTCCCCCCGCCCCCAAAAAGGAAGAATACCTGGCAGGTGTACATTTCTAGGAAGTACACATTTTCCTCTCCTCTCCATCTAAACACAACTATTTATAACATAACTCGTATATATTTACCTAAAAAGGTTTCCACATTAACTTCTTCTTAAGTGCATCTCACTTATGAGAAAGAGAAAAACAGAGGAAAGACAGCAGTTCCTATTATTAAGGCCAGTAATTAAAAAACAAAATGCAGCTACAGCTGCAGTTCACGGTATCAAACCCTGTGCACCAGATGGAGGGCTCATCTGTTTTAGCCATGTCACTACGATCAAGCCGAAATGCTCATCCCAAGTATTTAACATGCCTGTTTTACAACAACAGATAAAACACTACTTGAAATTGAGTGAGACAATAAAATCCAGTACATTCTTTGGGTATACGGTAATAATACATTCCTTCAAACTGTACTGGTCAAAACTTAAATTTCATACGGGCAGCACTGCTCCTACCTGAAAAACATCAACTGCTTATAAACATGCTCATTAGCCCATGTGACAACTAGGAAATTATGAACTTCTATCTAAAACTACTTCCACTGAAAAATGGAAAAAACAAAAAACAAAAAAAAAAACCTGAAAAGTGCGTCAGTCTATCACAGTGTCCATCTCTTCACTATAGGACACCCACGTTAGGACCTTTCCAGCCACGAATGGTGGTAGAGTGGTAATGCAGCCCTCCGTGATGCCGAAGACATACAGGAAGGTCAGAGGTCGGCCTCCCAAGATCTCCCAGGGTGCACTGGGTATACACTTGCCCATGATCTTGATGGCTGGGGTGGAGTGCAGAGTGAGGACCCTGCTGTGGGCTCCTGTGCATGTCTCTCTGTCTCCCTCTCTCAGAAGAGATAAATAAATAAGCTTTGAAAAACCAGCCTAATAATTTTTTCTGTAGAAGGGACTTCAATACAAACCAAATTAAAGATATTTTTAAAAAAGGAGAGGGGGAGGCTAGCAGGTGGCATCGTGGTTAGGGAACTGAACTCCCACATGGCCTACCATGGTTTGAGTCCTGGACCTGGGGGCTTGCTTTCTCATTCTCCCTCTCATTCTCTCTCCCTTTCTCTATCTCTCTGGTGAGCACATGTGCCCTATAGCAAATTTTAAAAAATAATAATAAAAAAATTGATAATAAATAAAATAAATTATTCTTTAAGGAAAAAAAAAAAGTCAAGGTCTTTGGGTTACGTCACTGGACTCCCACATAGTTGACTGCAGTTTGAGTCTCAGACCAGCGGCTTAATACTCACATTGGGTGTGCATGCATACCAAAAATCCCAAGAGAATGGAGGAGGAGGGATTGCAGAGTGGCCATCCTCCCTGGGGGGAGATTTCCTGTTTTCTGTCTCTCCAGCAAGCACTCACGTCCTATGGCAAAAATCTCTCTTATATAAATAAGTAAATAAATAAATAAATGAATAATACAAGGGCCAGCCAGTGGTGTGATGGTTAAGGTGGCTAACACCTATGTAGCTGACAGCATGGTATGTCCTGGACCCAAAGGCTTGAATAACATGCCGGGAGCATGTGTGTGCATGTCCAAAATCCCAAGAAGAGAACGAAAGAGAAGAGACTGTGGCATGATCATTCTCCTGGGGAAACTCTTTCTCTTTCTCTCCCTCTCTCCCTCTCTCTCTCTGTCCAGTAAGTGCACATGCTCTATAGCAAACAGGAAAAAAAATTCAAG